AATTTCACTATTTTATGTAGATTGGATAGGATTTTTCACTTAAATTTTATGATTTAACTTTGATTTTAATGATTTGATATTATTTTACATGTAATCTCAGGAATTAGATAGGATTATCAAATGTTCTTTATGGCCCTAGCTAGGTTTTCAACCTCTTTTATTTTAAAAAATCTGTTTTAAAATTTGAAACTCAGCGCGCAAATTTGACCAACTAGGTCTCACGTATTTGTGATTTTTTTACTTATTTTACTTTTACTATATTTACTTTTATGCAGAATTTAGAAGTATTGAAGTGAGAACACTGAGACATAGATACTTGATACTTGAGACATAGATACTTGGAATATAGAATTCTTAATAATTAAGAAATCTGGCAGTTGAAGGTAGATTTAGTGCCATTTTTATTTAAATTCGCATTTATAGCCACAGTTCAATTGGCACTCTAATCGTGCTTATTTTCAGAACATTTACATTTTTGAATACAACTGCGGAACAGAGCACAGTGAAACGGAGTCCAAGCAATAACAGAGTTACAAGCTAAGTTAGCATTTATCCAGGATGCTCACCAAAGAGGAAGGTTTTGGATTACAAAGGTTTCAGTTTTCAGAGTTTAGGTTCCGAAATAACTACGGCTATCAGCCATGATTGTTTTGAATATGCCACTACCACCAAACTGGTAGATCCCTGTAGAAGACATGGGTCTGGAACGTCGGAGGATAACCACAACGGCAGACGATTTCCTCCTCTTGCTATGTGCAAGATGCTGTAGATCACAGCTAGCGTTGCCTCTCTGTGCTGCTACAGGACGGTTCATATCCCGACGTCGCATCTCTATGCTGCTACAGGACACCGTAGATCACAGCTAGCGTCGCATGTCTGCGCTACTGCAGGATGGTCCATATCCCGATAATCTGTTCTGTGGTTTGCGTTCCTTTGTCCCCATCGCAGCCCTGTTAAGTTGAGCCCGTGAACATCACAGCTAGGCACCAGAACATTAGGACCCCGTACTCCTTATGGATGAGTCTCGCTTTAACATCCAGAACGATTCCCGAAGGGCAATGGCATGGCAAGAGCCAGAGACACGCTATCCGGCGCCAAGTATCGTCGAAAGAGACCATTACAGAGGATGAGCTATACTAGTATAGGCTGGGATAGCAATGAGCGATAACAGACGCTGCGATAAACTCACATAGAGCGCACCGAACTCTGTGTGAATACTGGTAATTCCGTCACAGCCGTCCTATATCGCAGCAAAATTTTACATTCTTTTGTGCGTCCTTTTATCGCTGCATAGGGTGCTGGAGGGATATTTATGGACTATAACATCCGCGCGCACAGAACTCGAGTAGTCTGGAGAGTGAAACCATTGCACATCTGCCTTGGCGTGCTAGATCACCGGACGTGTACCCTATAGAGCATATGTGGGGCATATTGGGATGACGGATAGCAGGTTTCAGTGTGCCGCAAGGCACACTCTGTGAACTTCGACATGCATTTTTACTGAAATGAACGCTATGGCGACAACAAGTGGCCAACAACACAACTGCCAGCTAACCTTCCCGTTGTCAAGCATTCATTTAAGCTAGAGGGTATCACACCTGTTTCTAGCATGATGTTTCCACTGCACGTTCTTCTCACACATTTGATCCTTCAGGATGCGATGTTCTAATATCTATGTTTTTGCATGTCATTCCTTTATTGTTTCCTATGTGCTCTTTGTAATGAAAGAAACGACAAAAGTAATGAAAAAAAGTAGCAAGTGGTGACATTTAGAGATGCAAAATCGTAAGTAAAACTAAATCCAATTACTTTACACATAGAGAGGATTAAGTCACTGGTTAATGAAGACGCACATATCTATAAGAAAACCTAGAGGAAGTTTACTTCGCCAACTTCAGAAAAAATTTTGGAGGATTTTAGTACAGATAAAATTGAATTTGGTTTCTGAAGATCGTCAAGAATGTGCAATACATGATTTATTTACTGATTTTTCCAACATCAGTTGCATTTTTTATGCGAAATTATAAAGTCTGTTTTGGTTTGATCAGTAAATATATATATATAAGAATTACTGTATATATTTCATAATGTATTATTAATCATCAATACGTATGTACATAATTTAATATAAATTTATTAAGAATACTCATCATCACACATTTTTATAAGCACTGTTCTCCTTTCATGATATTATACATATTTAAATTTTTTCACATTTTTTTTTTTTTTTTTTTTTTTTTTTTTTTTTTTTTTTTCCGTTTTACTTTTAAATACGTTTTTGCCTTTTAGTTGTTTTGAGGATTTTTGTTGTACAGCTTATAGGTTGACAAATAGTAGAGCGTAATAAAAAACATTTTTTCCTTCAATAACTAATTGTTTCACTAGTTTTATTAATTTTATTTTCTTTACGCGAAAAGCAATTAGGTTTTTATGATGTACCTTTAGACAAAATGGCAAGGAATGTTAATATAGAAAACTGGGATATTAGAAATTAGTCTTTTCCGTAATTTGACTGTTGTATTTTAGATTGTAAAATTGACGTGATTTTTAAATCTAGAGTATTTTTATTTTTATTATTTTTAAAAAATGTGATGCAGTAATGCCTTTTTTGTATTATTTGTGTATTTTATGTATTTTTGTTTCCCTTGGAGGGTTTAAATTCGCCTTGCAGTATATTCTTGAAACTTTGAGAATGGAAAGCAATAAATTTTGTAAAAAAACATTTCTTTTTTGTCGATATTTATTTCAATTATTTTTTCTCCTAAATTAGTCAAGAAAAACCAAACGTGAGTTCAGAAACTCATTAATTGTCCGTACTACTTAATCTTTTAAAAATTCTCTCTTGATCAGTTTGTTTAAAGCATTAAGCTATGAATAATTAGTCTGCAATTTTCCATAAGCGTTTTTTTTTTAATTTGTTAGCTTTTGTAAAAGATCTTTGGTAATACTCTGTTTTAATTAATTAATATTTTTTACTAATAATTTTTCTTAATCACTGTTTTCCCTTTAGAATATTTTTGCACTTTCCAATATTTCACACTTCCTGAATGGCGGCCCAACAGATCTTTCTACAAATCATCAATCTGCAATATTTTGTTTGATTCCAACACAGTTTAATAAAAAGGAGGGTGTTTATAGACTTGCAGGTGTGCATGACATTATTGATATTAGCGCAATAATTAAGGGCAATGCATTACTTTTGTATAGTGTTGTTTTTAGAAGATGAAGTTGTAGGGTTATATTTATTTTAACTAACATTTATTTTAAGTTTAAACTATCTTTCCTGTCAAGCCTTACTTTCCCCTGGAATTGCCATTGCCAGAGTATGTAAATTTTAGTAGAACGCGCAAGGATTCAAATTGTCAGCGACAGTAATCTGAGTTAAATAGAAGGGAAACGAGTTCGAAAGTGTGCTTTTTTGCTTCACGAGCGTGAGAGGTGGTAGTTAGAAATTGAAGAACCATGGAGTTTCGGCCTGAGTGCTTGCCTCGGCAGATTGTTAATCTTTCAACGTAATATTCAGAAGTTTGCTGAATTATCAGCGGTTATCTTAGAAAGCGGTTAGGTTAGTTACGTTTAGAGAGCCTCGTAGTTAGTCACTTGTTACTATTTTCTTTCTTAGTTTCTTATTTTATTTTACCGCCGGGCCGGCGTAGTTTTGTGAGCGTCAAGCACGCATCTGTAATTTCTAAAGTTGAATAAAAAGGGATTTAAACCCTTCTCAAGACTTTGTATACTTTCCAGTTCATAGCAGTCACCACTATTGTTGCGTGCAGGTTGGGAGCGCGCAACATTAGAAAGTAATAAGTTTTCATTTAATACAGCAATTAACAAGTGGAATTCCTTCTCATTTTCTGTATTTTTTTTTTTTTTTTTCAAAAAAAAAGACAGTCATAAATGCTGTGAAATAAATGCATTTTGTGATGTAATGGTTGGTTACAATTGCTTTATACCACATTATACTTGAAATTTTTATAGATTATGGCACTTTATTCATTGATTTGAAAGATTTGTATTTTTTAGATTTAATACTCATAACTGTCATATAAATGTGTACATAAATTACAGGTCGTTCCTCTACAAAAACGTAACAAATTTGGAGAAAGCATTTCTCCAGGTATGTACAGCATTAGAATATCTTTTGTGAAGAAGATTCATTCATAAGAATTGGAAATATGACTTCATCAGTATATGGCAGTCATATTTGATTAAAATGAAATAAATTGAATATTTTCTGTCCTCCTTCCATACGCCCTAAGAAGAATTCCCGAATGCTTCTCAAGCTCTGATTTGATTAGATTTTCCCTAGCCATATTTGATTTGATTTTATTTAGGAGCGTGTCCCCCAGCCACTTGCTCAAATCAATGTTAAGCCCTAATTTCCTAAATAAAGTTTTAAAATGTTAAGCTCTAATTACCTGAAGCTTAAATCAATGTTAAAACTCTAACTCTAATTTTCCATAAAGCCCTAAAGCAATGTTAAGCCATAAACCAAACTAAAAGCCCTAAAGCAATGTTAAAAGCACTAAAGCAAAGTTAAGCAATGTATGCACTAAAGCCATGTTGCTTTAATGCTTCTGTAAAGCTGAAGTGCTTTAGCGGTTTTCCATAAAGCATTAAAGCAGAGTTAAGCCCTAATTTTCCATAAAGATGAATAATCCTAAATGTGTTAAACCCTAATTTTCCATGTTAAGCCAAGATTTTTTACGGTTGGGCTTCTAGTTGGACCAACTCCTAAGTGCCATTTCTATGGAAATCTGCAATAATATAACTACAGTTTTTGCTCTCATTTTCGTAAGGTCCTTAATTTTTCCCAAAATATCTGACAAAGCATTCTCTTCTTTTTTTGTTTTGTTGTAGAGATGAAAATCAAAATGTTAGAGTAATATATAATCTTTTCTTCTTAAAGACAACTACTAAATCTTTCAAGTTAAATTTTTTATAATATACAATTAAGGTAGCTAAGGGCTCTCACTAGCTCTGTTTATTGTATTTTATAGAAGAGCCTCGTTTCGAACCTCTGATGGACGATATATTTCTGTTAGCATTTCTCAGGCACAAGAAGTACGACGTTAAAAACGCATTTAAAATCCTATGCAACTTCTATGCGATGAAGAAAAAGTATTTCAGAATACTCACGGATTTCAAGCCTTCAGAATTGAATTATGTCCTGGAGAAAAATCAGTTGACAGTACAACCATTTAGATGTCCTGATGGCTGCAGCATTGGAATTTGGAGAATAGGTGAGAAATACTTTCTATAGAAGTATTATTTGTCAAATATGGAACTATTTCTTTGTAAATAACTTATTGTTATGAATTTTTATAGATATGTGTATAATGTTGCGAGGCCCCAACTTGTCAGCAACAGTGGTAGTGACTGCTTTGAACTGTAATTTACACAAACTCGTAAGAAGGGTTTAAATCTCTTTTTATTCCACTTTAGAAATACAGCTGCGTTCACTTGACGCACAAAAACTACGCCGACCCGGCGATTTAACAAAATAGAAAAGTACAACTAAAAATAAATGACAGGATGAATAAAAAACGAAATCACTACCTCTATAATCATAACTAACTTAACCGCGTTCTAAGATACAGCTGAGATTCAGCAAACTTACTGGTTAAGAAGTTGAAAGATTCAACGAACAGCCGAAATAGGCACACAGGCCGAAACGCGCGGTTCTTAAAATTTCTACCTAGCAACATTCACGCTCGCGATTCAAGAAGCACACTTACAATCTCGTTTCCCTTCTATTTAAACTCAACATAATTCTGCTAAAATTTGAATACTCTGCGCGTTCTACTACGATTTACATACTCTGGCATTGGCAATTCTAGGGGAAAGTAAAGGCTTGACAGGAAAGATAGCTTAAACTTAAAATAAATGTTAGTTAAAATAAATATAAACCCTACATTTGCCGCTGCCAGAATTTGGTAAACTTGGAAGCAGGTCCTAGAAACGACCTGTTCAAAAAGTTTCCATTTTCTGACCTAAAATTCAAGAGCTCCGTTTGCATAAAACAAACTGTTTCCTAAAACAATTATAATCATTTCCGTAGATGTTAAATTACCATATCTTCTTACAGGATCCTTTCTGGAATTTGGTCTTCATCACTCAATCTTTTTCTCTTCTTTCCAGCATCTGGAAGGAATAAGTATCAGTATATTCTAAATACATTATGATTTACACTTTCTTAACACTCGATATAAGTTTTCGTTTTCGATCCTTTTTCTTTTCCTTATTAACTGCTTACATTCACATTCATTCAAATATTCAAACATGAATTTAACTTTACCCTGGTTCTCCACCATGTGTGGTGTCAAACGGGAATCTTCGTGTTTTGTATTACAACACTCTCCCTAACCACAATGATTTGTTAGAATTCAACGACCAAATATGACACACCTTAATCGACATTACTGAAACTCGATGAGCTATGTTTAACATTCTTAAAAATTCAAGTGTAGGTGGAGAACCCTACAAAACACATTCATTCTAAATTCCCCCTCATTCATCTTTAGACATGCAGGCTTTCGCTCTAAAGCATGATTTTATCTACTGTTTAATACTTAAATTTGAACTTCATTTCTTTTGAGCATTTACTTTTAGCATCTAAAATTTTATGCTTCTAGACTAAATTCTACTTTTACATAACTTTCAAGTATTTACGTATATTTACAAAATTCTAATACATATGATTTTTACAATTTACAATAACATGAATAAGATAAAAATAAATTTTTACTTCACGCTTTCTTCGCCAAGCTGGCGGCACTGAAACTAAATTTTTCATTAATACAAGAATACGAAGTTATTTTACTTTCGGCCAAATTTTGGCTTTAACATAACAGAATTAGTCTTTCGACCAACAGGAACTGCTTGCTGTTAGATTTTACACTTAAAGAAAATAATACTTTTGCCTTAGCTAAATAAAGTAAAACAAAACTAAGTCTCAACCGAGACAAATTGACTTCCGTCAAAACATAGAACTTCGTATTTACGCATAACATTTCGGAACAAAAGAAAAAAAATTTATAGAAGATTTTTAACTTATCTTTGAGTTTTCGATGCTTGGAACTCCGACATCCTCTTCTGGCAAAATTGATCCCAAGTTATAGAATTCATGGAAGTCAATCTCCGCTTTTGGGTTTCTTCGAGTTTCCTCCATGGCTGACTTTTCTTTTTCGCCCTCTGTACGCTGGCCTCTTGGGGTGGTAGTCTTCGGGTTCCTGTCTTTTCCGTTTTGGCCCTGGACGGCTGGTCTTGGCGGCCTCCGGTCTGGGATCTTGCTTGAATTTTTTTCTGTTGGTGCCAATCTTTTCGTTCCTCCTTCTGTCTTTTTCTTCTCGTGAACGGCGGCCTTGTTTGCTCCTGACTATCTGGCCCTGGAAGTGGTTTCCTCGACTCAGATTTTCTACTGTGGGAAATTTTAACTGGTCTTTTCCTATTTACCAAAGATTCTTTACGCGGCGGCGTTGATTTCCTGCACTTCTTGAATGCTGTAGTGTGACCATTTTCCTCCCTTCTTTTCGGGGCCCTAGAATAACTTGTAGAAGGGCTAGGTTCCTCTTCTGTTCTCTGCTTCTTGGGTGGTGGAGCGGGTTGCGTTAATTCTGGAATTTCCACTTCTTTTGCGCTTGAGTCCTGCAAGAAAATTTTAAAGGATTTCAAAATCATTTTGATTATAATATTTTTTCACCTGGTCGGGACTTGCTTTACAGGTTTCCACTCTCTCATTCTTAAGGTACAATACGACTCCCTTGATTTCCTGTATTACATAGGGGCCTTCAAATTTTGGAGCCAATTTTGCAGTGAAATTGTCTGGGGCACTTGATAAAGAAAATTTCCGCTTTAAAACTTTATCCCCAACTTTAAAATCTGCTTCACGGCGTTTTCTATCATAGTAAGTTTCTGTCTATTTCTTGCCGTATCCGAACTTTTAACCGCCTGATCAATAAGTTTCTGCATCTTTTTGTTTGAATTCTTGCTTCTCTTTGTTGCACAAAGAATAATTTATCTAAGTGGCGTAATTAACTTCGTCCTAAAAATAATTCTGCTGGAGTTTTTCCCGTAGTATCATGATTTGCCTGTTCTTAAAGCATAAGCTAACTCATTTATGTAGCCATCCCAGCGCTTGTGATGTGTGCTAACATAACTTCGAATTATTTTTACAATATTTTTATTAACTCTTTCTGCTATGTTTGCCTGTGGTCTATACGGAACCATTTTGATATGGCGTATGCCAAGTCCAGTGCAAATGTTTTCAAATATTTGGCTAACGAATTGTTTACCGTTATCGCTAATGACTTTTATCGGTGCACCGTATTTTAAAATGTATCTGTGTAAGAATGCATCTGCGACTGTTTTGGCTGACGCGCGTTTAAGTGGAACAATTTCTGTCCATTTTGAAAAATGATCTACAATTACTAAAAGAAAACGATTTTTATTTAACTCACTCTGGGGAAAGGACCAAGAAGATCTATGCCTAAAATTTCATTCGGAAATGTAGCGCGAATGCTATTTAAGTACCCGGCCGGGCTGTAATTAATATCATTTATTAACTGACATTGATTGCAGGACCTGACATACGCAGTTACTATTTTGTATAATTGCGGGAAATATACCGCCTCGCGTACCCTTTTTAAGTCTTTCTGACCCCTAAATGACCCGCTGTTTTCGCGTCGTGTAATTCCTTCAAAATGCTTAATCGAAGCGAGGCTGGGATGACTGGTCTATATTCGAAATTTTCGTTTGTTGTTTTCGTATAAAATAATAAATTATCTATTATTTCATAGTTTTCTGCTCTACTTCTTATCGCATCGATATCTGTGTGTGTTCAAAGCTTTCGGGGTCTTTCAAATACGCATAGATACTTCCAAATTCAGGATCAGCTTTCAATTCAGCAATAATTGTTTCTCTAGAATCTAAAATTTTTGAAGTCAACACAGCGCCTTCATCGTTCAGTTTTATTCGAGATAGTGCCTCAGCAACATTGTTTTCCTTACCCGGTTTATATTTAATTATTAGATTATATTCTTGAAGTTTTAAAGCCCATCTTATTAATTTGGGCGTTAGGTTTTTTCCCCGAGTAAAGTCTACCAACAGCCGCATGATCCGAAAAGACTGTTACTGGCGCTTTGCCGAAATAAACTCGAAATTTGTGTACAGCCATTAATACGGCTAATGTTTCTCTCTCTGTAGCTGTATAATTCCTTTGTGTAGATTTAAAGTTTTACTAAAAAATGCCAAAGGATGGCCATTTTGCATGAGAACCGCACCTACGCATAGTCCGACGCATCTGCTGCAATTTCCAGGTTTTCGTCCCCCTTCCGGGAATTTCAAAACAGGGGCATTGATGAGCGCTTCTTTTAACCTTTCAAATGCTGTATTTGCTTCTGCTGTCCACGTAAATTTACTTTTTTTTCTTTTAATTACTAAGCAACGGTTCAACAATATTAGCGAAATCTTTTATGAACGACCGATAATAAGAACATAACCCAAGGAAAGAAGAAAGTTTCTTGGCGGTGTTGGGAGGTGGGAAATTCTTGATGGCTTTTATTTTTGAATCCTGAGTTTCTATACCCTTTTGCGAAATTTTATAACCAGATATTTAAGTTCTTTAGTTGCGAACTTGCATTTTGATGCGTTAATTGTAAGACCGGCCTCTTTAATAATATTTAAAAACCTCTTCCTAAATCTTTAATATGTTGTTCCAACGTACTACTCGTTATAATTATATCATCTAGATAGATTAAAGTCGATTTTCCTAGGACAGGCTTTAGAACAATGTCCATAGCTCTCTGGAATGTTGACGGGGCCCCACACAACCCAAAGGGCATGCGTAAAAATGCATAAGTGCCCGATTTTGTTATAAACGCGGTTTTATGTATATCTTCGGGTCTCATAGCTATTTGATAGTAGCCAGACGTTAAGTCCAAACGTAGTCATGTATCTCGTAGACTTAATCTTTCTAATAATTTCCTCTATTAACCGGCAAAGGGTAAACTGGGAATTTAGTAATACTATTAAGTTTTCTGTAATCGATAGCAAACCTCCAAGCCCTTTTATCCGAAGGAGGGAAACTCGTTCTTTTTCCTACATAGTACGACTGGACTCGCGTACTCACTATTTATGAGCGTTATTATTTGGTTCTGCAACATTTCCTGAATGTGTTCTTCGATAATTTGCTCTTTTTGTTTATCATACCGGTAGGGTTTAGTCCTACAGGGTTTATCGGCAG